AGTATCACCGGAGTGTTCTAAATGTCACTACAAGTTGTTGGAATGTCCAGAATATTCACTAAACGTCAAGAATATCATCGAAGACTCACCGGAATCTCCAGAATATTGCCCAAAAATAAAAGAATAAATTAAGAAATTATAGTGAAAAAACATAGCAAAATGTGTTAAATATTAATAAACTGAAAGGGAAAAAAAAAACATAACAACAAAAAACAACAATAGGAAAAAGTATATATTATTTTTCAAATAATCTTCAATATTGATCAAATTGAAAAGCAGGTTATAAAACTATAAAATGTTACAGTTTCAGAGCATAATTCTATTAAGCATTTATCCTTATTAATCAAATTGAAAAATATGTTATGAAATTACAAAACTTTACAATTCTAAAGAATGTTATGAATGCAAAATTTTACAGTTTTAAAATATGATTCATTTCAGCACAAAAAATTGAAATTGTAAAATTTTACAGTTTTTACCTCCTATAACTAAAACTTAAAAATAACCTGTTTAGAACTTGAAAATTTTCTCTATTAAAATAGAAAAATAGAAGTGTGTAACAGAGGAAATGTAGAAAAATTGAAAAATTGAAAAATTGAAGGAGAGAAACAGATATAGAGAGAATATTGTAATCCGGTAACTATTTTTTATTTATATTTAGTCGGATCTCATGTAAATTTGCTCAGATCTGATGCAGATCTGAGTAAATCTATATCAGATCTGAGTGTATTTACTCATCTTCTTTGCTAAAAATTTGTTCTTTTGTTATCGATAAGAGTGAAGTGAGGAGTCGATGGTCAGTGGTTGTCAGTGAACCCCAAGCACTTATTATCACCCGTGCTTTCGTGACTCTTATTCCTAGAACTCCTAGTTGTGAATTAAGAACTCCACTAGACATGCCGACATCAATATGCCACACGCTACAATTGTATGTACGATTGGCTCCTGTAGTTTCCCCACCACATTGCTTTAGCACCTAAAACTTGCACTGACCCCTCAAGAATGGATTGAATCTGATTAATCTGATGTCCATTTAGATCAGATATGTCTCTTGAGTACAAATGATTCCAAACAACACTATTATAACCCTTAGTGGCTATAAAGAAGGTTTTTGGACTATCGTCTCTCTCATTGAGACCTCCCATCCAATTAGATACTTCCCTATTCATCCTCTCTATACCAAAGGTGACATGATGAGGGAGAAGGTCACCATGAAAGAAGACCCAATCATTAACTTTAAGAACTACAGCATGTCGTGCCAACTCACATGCCAGCGGACCCCAGGTCTTAGCAGAGTTGATCTGGCAATCACCCCATGTTGCCGCTGTCCTACACTTTGACTTGTGGTAGGAGTAACCTGCTTGTATTTTCCTTGGCAAAGTGAACACGCATGAACAGATCAGCACTGTGCTTTTGCTGGAGGTGGATATAAAGTTCTAGCTGCTGCATAGGCATTGAACTTCACAAATCCATAACTGGGGTCAGTTCTGGTGACGGTGGCGGTGTCGGAGAAGTCGCAGCTGCCAGGGGCATTGCCCCTGCGCTGGTAGTAGCTGTTAAAAGCATAGGAAACGTGGGACTGAAGCGTGTTTGGAAGGTAGCACAGCCCTGACGACTGAATCGGCGCGCAGTCTGCTCTGGCGCCGCACGCATAGTCCAGTGCCGTCTGCAGAGCCTGGTCGCTGGCGTCGCTTTTCGTCATGCACCATGTGGCTTCAACTCTGCCACTGTTGTTGGTGGAGAGAGACAGATCCATCAGGAAGAGGACTGGCATCGCCACCACCACTACCACCTCTAACAGTGATGCCATGGCGTTGCTGGAAGAGGAGGACTACTAACGTGGCTACAAAGCAAGACACAGAGAGAGAGAGAGAGAGAGAGAGAGAGAAGTTGGGTGGGTGTTGTGTGTGTTGCTCTTTTCTTTCTTCTTTATCCTTTCAGACGTGTGGGGAGATGGCTAGAGGAGTGTTCATAATAGCATTATACACCTGTAACTCCATTATTACAAATCAATCCATATGCTGCTTTTCGGTGCTACTAACTAACCATCATGATGTTGAGCAATTGTTAAAGCATAGCTATAGTGTAGGTGTTGGGTCCTATTTTATTCCTCCCCCTAAAAACTTTCCAATTGCCTTGCAAGCAAATAATATCTATTCATGCTGACCATACATGCCAAACAATCACCACCACATTTTTTTTTCTGTCATTTTATTTTATCTTATTTTATTTTATTTGGGTCTTTACTGGTTTAAAATCAAAAGAGAAGTTTTCAAATGAAGGTATTAAAAATGATTATGGGTGTAGATGTGAGCAGTGGCGGAGTCAAGAAATTAAATCAGAGGGGTCATTTATTAATTACAATATTAAAATTTTTTATAAAAATATTTCACATAAATTTTTACCATTAACTTCAAGAAAAATAATAATAATAATAATAATAATAATAATAATAATAATAATAATTAGTGTATTTAGTTTTAGTTTTCTGATCAGTTTTCTGAAAACAAGTGAATATTTTTTTTAGTGAATATTTTTTAAATTTTAAACAATTTTTTTTACTTTTTTAGAAGCACATTACTTAGATATGTATCCAAATAGTAAAATATTTGGGAAAAAATATTTTAAAAAATTAGTAAATACACAAAAATACAAAAAATGTTTTGAATTTTCATATTATTTTTATATTTTTTGGTATTTAGTGTATTTTTTAAAGATTTTTTTTCACAAATATTATACTTTTTAGGTATATTTATGTTAAGTGTGTCTAAAAATTAAAAAAAATTATTGAAAACATTAAAATACGAAAAATAAAAATGTAGAATTTTTTAAAAACTGTTTTCTGAAAACTAGAACCAAATAAGCTAAATATTATTTGTAATTAGTGTATCATGGACAATATTAAAAAAAGTCATTGATATAAAGTTTTAAAATAAATTATATAATGACAAAGTAATTTTTTATACAAAATATGCGTAAAAATTTAATATAATAGATACACCACGTCATCATTAACATGTGATATCACAAATCAATAGTAAAGAAACACATGGAGAATAAACGCTACATGTCAAATGTATCTAACAATTCAATAAATTCTATATTTTCATTGAGATTAATTATGCTTGCATGTCAATAGTGATAGACATCACCATTATATTGGAATTTTCATAGATAATAATATCGTAATCACTTTATATAGCGATCCTGGTTTTCCCTTCTTTGTTTATTGTACTCCGGACTCGGTTCCGTGGGTGTGTTGTTGTTTTATTCTCATTCCCATCCTTTATTCTTTATATTTGAGTCTTAGGTTGTGTTGGGCAGGTCTGAAACAGGTTGGTTGTGTTTGGAAACCAAAAGTTGATGTCCAGATTTTGGCCTTCACGCTCGAGCGGGGCTTTTGGCGCTCGAGCGGGCCTTTTGCTTTTGCTCCTCCGCTCAAGCGGGAATTCTGACGCTCGAGCGGGATTATTCATCTCTCAGTATTTTTGTTTTGCAGGTCATCGGACGCTCGAGCATCCACATTCACGCTCGAGCGGGGACCTTCATCTACAAAACTTCTGGAAGTGTGCATTCGACGCTCGAGCGGCGCTTTTCACGCTCGAGCGTGAGTCTGTGTTTGACGCTCGAGCGGGGTGTTCCACGCTCGAGCGGACTGTTTATTATATCCGTTCGAATTTTAGCTTTTTGAATCACTTTTTCGAGCCATTCTCTCTCTCTAGCTTTTTAAAACCCTATTTTGAGAGCTTCTCTCTCTAGAACTCTCTCTCTCTACATTTTGATCTTGGTTTAGTGTAACCCAACCCTTGTGCCTTCATTAAAGTGGTAGAGCTTTGCAAAACCTCCGTTTGGATCCGAAAATCTTTGGCTTTGGAGCACCTCCGAATTTCTTCATCATCACCTTTGGGTCTCTCCACTTGAGGTAGGGATAACCACTCATATTTATGGTCTTTGACATAAATATGTAGTCATTTTGATTTAATGTTGTAGTTGGAAAATTTTGGGTGTTAGGGTTTCAAATCTTGAAATGTGTAAAGGGGGGTTTTTGTTCCTTTGAACTATACATGTGTAATTGGGTCTCAAAATGAGGTTATTGATGTCCATTGAGGATATTTGGACCTTTGGGTCAATATTGAGAAAAAGGGAAATACCTTAGTTGGGTTTAATTGGATCATTAGTGTAATTAATGACATTAAGTGTGAGAATGTGAAATTGGTTTATAAATAATGAAATTGGGAAAGTATGAGAGGAATGGTGTGGTTGGATTGATTAATCACTCACCTATGAAGATGTTGATAATTTATCTGCTTGATGAAATTGTTATCTGTTTAGAAATAATTGCTTTGGGCTATCGGTGGAGGATAGTCTTGATTGTTGTAGACACTGCATGATGATTAGGCGAATTAAAACTAATAAATTGAATGTGTCATTGAATATGACGGATGGAATAACACATTTAATATGTGCTTTGCTTGATCATTGTATATGATAAGTGTTTAATACATTGTATATGTATGTTGTTTGGGAGAAGATAGGGGATGTACTCCACGGTTTGGGAGGAGATAGGGGATGTACTCCTAAACTGGACATTTGGGAGGAGATAGGGGATGGACTCCAGTGATAACTAAGTTGGCTGGAGTGTTCAGGGTGAAAGTCCCGAAATTCTAATTGCGTTTGCATAACGTAGATAAATTGAATTATTGAAATGACAATGATTTGAGTTGTAGTCTCATTTGAAATTGAAGTATTGTTGATGTGAGTTGTAGTCTCCTTATATACTGTCTGGATGAACAGAGAACCGTAATTATGATTTGGTTTGGATTATGAAATGGAAAGGGATGGAAATCATATGTATATATGCATCTATGTTTATGGATTGATTATGAAAGGGATGTACGTTTGTTTATATGAGTTAAACATTTATCAAATGCTAATGTTTTAGTTATTGCTTATATTATGTTTAGCATATCTCTACTGGGCGTTGGCCCACCCTATATGGGACATCATTTTCAGGTGTAGGTGATATGCCGCCTCCAAGGTCTTAGCTTAGAAGGTTTAGGAGTTGAAAACTCTTTTGGTTATTTTTAGTTATTTTGGTGTTACATGTAAATTCAAGCCAAGGGCTTAATGTGCTTTGAGTTAGTACTCTCTTTTTGTGACCAAGTGTTGGCTTGGAAAGTTATAAGCCCCTAGGGCATTTATTTTTGTTGTCAACATGTAATACTTTTGTAATGAATACTCTGATAAATGGAAAGATGTTTATTTCTCTTATGTCTATGCATGTCAAAAAGGTTGGGTTTATATGTATTATTTTGAGGGCGTTACAACTTCGTATCAGAGCGTACCGGGTTTGAATACTTTGGGTACGTGGGAAGTGGTTAGTACCACAACGGGTTTGTCTCGCTTGTTAGAGACTTAGGTTTAATGTTATGTACTTATGTGACAACATGTTTACGTAACTATATGGGTATGAGATTTAGTTTCTAGGATGTTGATTGGATCCTTGGGTTTTTGGTAGTACTGTTAGAAAAGTACTTGATCAATGCTGTTTCTAACCGGAACTCTAGCAACGCCACGGGACCGTCATTATCCGAAAATGAAGTTCGTAAGTGCTTATGTGATTATGTGCTTATGTAGAATGAATTACTATTGTCCAATGCTTTAGGACGCGAGTGAGATAGCTTCGGCACATTTGTGAATGTGCTAATGTTTTCGTTACCTTTATTAGGATGTCAGGACGAGGACGTGGTGGTAGGCGAGGTAGGCCTAGGAGGCAGGAGATGCCTATATCGGATAAGATTCCGGCACAGCAGGAGGGTGTTGGTCAGGCCAATGTGGCCGAGCCAGTAGGTCAACAGGCCATGAGCGCCTTAGCCCGCGAGATGATAGGAGCTTTGAGGGAATCCATGTACATTCTTAGGGCTGAGAATCAAGTCCAGGCCCATGTGATTGAGGCAGGGCCTTCTTTTCTGAAGAGAGAGTTTTTCCGGTCTAACCCAGACTATTTTCTAGGGGATCCTAAGGAGCCACTTAAGGCTGATGAGTGGCTTGAGCAGATGACGAAGACGTTTGAGATGCTTGGCATCAAAGACGGGGCTTTGAAGGTGACCTTTGCGTCTTTCCAGCTGAAGGGAGACGCGGGTCAGTGGTGGAAGTTTGTGCGGGGTCATATTGGAGGGACTTAGGAGGCTTTCGTTGGTGCCTTTCAGGAGAAGTTTCTGTCTCCCGCTGTCAGGGAGAAGTTTAGGGATTAGTTCTGTCTGCTCAAGCAGTTGAGTACACCAATGGCCGAATTTGAGGCCGTATTTACTAGTTTATCTAGATTTGCACCTGAGCTAGTGGCGTCTGAGGAACGCCATTGTCTTGAGTTTGAGAAGAAGCTGAGACACAGGCTCAAGACTAGGGTTGCTGGGTCTATGACTCGGGAGTATGGACGCCTTGTGGATATTGCGGCACATCTTGAAATTATTATGCAGGAGGAGGAGGAGAGGATGAGGGGCTCCAAGAGGAGTCAGGATGGCCAGGGGGATGGTCGGAGGCAGATGGGTTCTCACCCTCAGCAGTCCCAGGGTGTTTTTGCGAGATCTATCTTTCCAATGCTGAGTTCAATCTCTGGGAGAGGCAGTCAGGGAGACATTACTTGTTACAAATGTGGTCAGCTGGGCCACAAGTCTCTAGCTTGCCCGCAGAGGGGAGGAGGGCAGAGAGCAGCTTCATTTTCGGCTCGACCTCAGAGCCAGAGTCAGGGCAAAGGTCAGCCACTCTCTTATTACCAGTGTGGTCAGGCAAGGCACCTGAAGAGGTTCTGCCCGCAGTTGATTGGCACATCTGGTGCATCTGGGTCGAGGCAGAGTTATCAGCCAGCCCAGTCTGTTCAGGCCTCGAGGGCTAATCAGGGAGCCTCATCGTCTCAGTCTGTACAACATTCTTTTGCTCCGAGAGGT